TTTTTTTAACAATATGTTATGATCAACACAGTCAAACGCTTTCTTGAGATCCAAAAAAATCACTCTATTTAACAAACCCTTATCCATATTCATTAGCCATTGGTTCGTGATGTTAAGTAGAGAAGTTTGTGTAGAGCGATCTTTCCTAAATCCTGCTTGTTGTTCTGCAAGAATGTGATTAGTTTCAAGATAAATTTCTAGTTGCTCTGTAACTAATTTCTCATATATTTTAGCAACTGAGGATAGAACCGAGATTGGTCTATAATTATCGCAATTAGTTTTGCTTCCAGTCTTATGAATTGGAGAAATGATAGCAATCTTGAAGTCTTCAGGAAATATTCCAGTGTTTATAGATGCGTTAAAGATTGTATCGTATCGTATCGTATCGTATTGTTATATTATATTATATTATATTATATTATATTATATTATATTATATTATATTATATTATATTATATTATATTATATTATATTATATTATATTATATTATATTATATTATATTATATTATATTATATTATATTATATTATATCATATCATATCATATCATATCATATCATATCATATCATATCATATCATGTTATATTATATTATATTATATTATATTATATTTATAAACATGGCCAGAAATTCGGGACATGCGCCCGCGATATATCTCAGCGGTTTTTCTTATGAGGAGTTATTCATACCTAACAAACGCAAGTTTTAACTAAAATAAATGCATTTTGATTAGTTTTTGTTTAACTAAAGCAGAAAAATGATATATTACATATTGTCGGCCTTTACATACCTTTCATTTATTATGATGGGATATAAAGTGATGCGCATGGAAAAGGACTGAAATATTTTTTGTATACATCTCCATCCCTCTGTGTAACCCACACTGGACGAAAGCCTGGTTTCTAAGCTTCTTGTTGATATCAAACATGGACGACAATTCATGAAACATCGTTCTTCTTGCAATGTTTTACGGCTTATGGACAGGGTATTTATGGGTAAAATATTAACATTTGTCCCGTAAATTGGAACAAGTTAAAAAATCCGTATCAGTATGAAATTATGCAGACAATCAGGAGAAAATATATATTTTACGACGCGAAGTGGTTTGAAGGATGCATGCGGCCAGAGCAAAATGTACGTTTTTAACAAATTTCTCAAGTTTTAACTATACTTTGTACCGAAGTACTATGAAGTGAACTTGAAAAATGGAACAAATTATAAGTAAGATTTGGACGCTAAATTTTCTTCAAAATTTTTTTTCGGTTCAGATATAGTTTATATGATTGCGCAGCCTGGAAATGAGAGAGGTATTATCAAAGAAGTTTAAATTTAAAAAAACCGCGCCACTCCTAATAATTTATATATAACAAGTCCGCCATTTTGTTTGTCAAAGTTCGCACATGCTCAGAATCCATGTGCGCAATTTCTGGCCATGTTATATTATATTATATTATATTATATTATATTATATTATATTATATTATATTATATTATATTATATTATATTATATTATATTATATTATATTATATTATATTATAATATATTATATTATATTATAAATTATACATAATTATATTATATTATATTATATTATATTATATTATATTATATTATATTATATTATATTATATTATATTATATTATATTATATTATATTATATTATATTATATTATATTATATTATATTATATTATATTATATTATATTATATATTATATTATATTATATTATATTATATTATATTATATTATATTATATTATATTATATTATATTATATTATATTATATTATATTGTAACCCAATTTTGTTATATATTTACTACTGTGACACTGCCTCCTTGTCTATCAGATTTTTAAGAAAGGAGCCCAAATCTTAAAAGCCTTTTGGTTTCTTTTTGGGTTACCTTGCTAATTATTATTCCTAATTTTGAAATACTTGTATATGTGTGTAATGTAGTGAGTAAATTGATTTGATTTGATTACGGTAAACTGTAATAATATACAAGCACTGAAAGAATGGTACTTCTTGTTAAATATCGTGATTTAATATATTCTATCTTTCTCGAAAGATCAGAGAACAAATAGGAACTAACTGTCAATATAATGCAAACTGCAAGTTTGGAGGCTAGCTGTATAATTTGTTTATTATGAGATAAATCATGGAGCAATACGCACTTTATCGCCCTCTTCCTGGGCTTTTCTTTCTTTCTCACGTTTAATTTAACCTGAGCAATGTAGGGATTTTTGTCTGCCCGTCAGAGCCAGAATTGATTTCAAAATCTTGTAAATTACTTACAGAGCTTTAAATAAACAAGCAATGGAGTACACTGTGTTGTATACGAGTTAATGATATCACCAATTTTTGTGCAGTTCTATTTCACTTTAATTGACATTGGGAATTATTAGTTAGTACAGGACGGACCCATGTTGATGTGGCTCCGTACCTTGTTTTGTTTCAGCACCTCTAGACTGGGGGCTAATTAAAACCGGGAAGACGACTAAAATGAGAAAGGGGGTAAAAGGGAAAATTTGCAACCTTCTTGTATTTTCTTTGGCGTGAAGTGCTTCAGCGAAAGGATCTGTGGGAAAACAGGAAATATCCATTTCAACACCTGACTAGAACAGAAGTATATTCATCTCATATACATCAGAGATTATAGATTTAACTAACAAAAATATATAAGACAAACTATATATATTTTTAAGGAGATTGGATTCTATTAAGTTCATGGTTATTTGAAGTTCTGGGAAATAAATTCTTGATTAGTTTACGAAGCGGTAATACATAAAATGTTTTGGTTTGTCCAAACTACCACCTGGCTACTTGTGTTTTGGTAGCCAATTGGTAGCCAGCTGTTTTAACATGGTAGCCAGGTTGTAGCCAGGTAGGTAGCTATATTTATCACGATAATTTTTTACAGCAGCCAATGTTAATACCCCGGTTAATAGGTATATTGGCAGCTTTGCATTAAAAAATAGACGTATATGACTCAACTTTGACCTTTATCCAAACTTGTAACTTTATACAACACAAGCATAAAGAAGGTTTGTGTAAGGGTTTATAAAAAAACGTCTACTAAACCAAATTGAAAAAAGTAATTGAACGAACTGAATGCGATTACTGTTAATTGCATGCATGAAAAAAATTGAATTCGTCTGACGAATTGAACTCGTTGTCATTGTCCTGGTCAGACGTAAATAACATATGGGTAGGGGCTTTCGTTTCATGCGGCGGACTTATCGTCAAAAAATCTCAACATCTTATTCTGATATATAATGTGGGTTTGTCTTGAAGACAGTCAGTCCGAGTTTACTGTGTTGCTTGAAATGAAAATTCTTAATTAAAACTCAACCTATTAGGCTAATGCCATAACTTCTTGACGTAACGAAAATAAGTTCTCTGAACATTTATCATGGAGTTGCGTCCTTGTCAACTGTAGTTTTACTTTTAAAAATGATTTAAATTAGTTTGAATTAAATCCCACGCAAAGAAAACACGCCTACAATCAGCCTGCTTCAAGATGAACAACTGAAGTGCTTGAGCTATATAGTGGCTTTTGCGTATTTGGCCTTTAAATTAATCTACAAATATTGTAGTTATGTAATTTCCTACTTTCTTTCTTTGTGATCAGGATGGGAAATGAAGATAAGTAAGTCCTCTCATCATATTGGCGTATATGCTTTCGACCACGATCATGAATATTGTAACCATGGCAAAGGGATCTTGAGCACGGCATAGTGAAGCCTATAAAAGGTGCGAGTTTGATCAGTTCGTCACTTCATCTTCGGTCTTCAAGAAATAAAGAGTTGGAAGATAACTAGAAGAACAATGAAGAATATTGCACTGTTGTGTTTCCTTTTGGTGGCTTCGGCCTGTGTACTTGGTACGTATGATATGAGATTGCATTCTAGTGATTGTAGTGTGTGAATAATTTTGGAATTATTTTTTATAAAACTACTTATGCGCTGGTGGATTTCAATCCCGTGACTTTTTCCTAGTGCAACTCTCTACCAACTGAGGTACGAGGTCAAGTCGCCAGGTGATATTTTGCAACTGACTGATCAAGTTCCTAAATTTGTTTCTTGTAAAAGAACATTTGTAATCAAATACTAAAATTGGACACCAAATTTCAGACACCCGTGCACAAACCGGCCAAAACTATGAATTAATATAATTTATTTCATTTTCCAACAAAAGTTGCTCGCGCTGATGAAGAGACACCGGCTGTCGATGTTCCCAAGATGGGGGATCAGCCAAAGGCCGCCGACGTGATGGCTGACGAAGAACAAACGGAGGATGGCGAGAATGAAACGGAAAACGATGAAGTCGATACTGAAAGTGACAAAGAAGAGACGGAAGCTGACAATGCCCAAGAAGATGAAGAAGTGGAAGAAGATGAAGGTAGGCGACTATTTCTAATATTGGGTATGTTACGGTTGAATATGTAGTTTTTAAAAATTCAATTTGAGGTGAAAGGTACAGGTATCTGAGACCAAATCTCTTTCTTAACTATGAATAACTCTTCCCATGCATCGATAACTAGAAATGATATTGGCAACACAACATAAATCACTCTTCCTGACCGTGATTGCAAGGCACTAATTTCCTTCAATGCTGGATAGCAGATGCATGCACTGCTAGTTCTCTACTCTAACATCAAATTAGTGTAGGTTAAATTGTACCAAGCTAAAGTGAGGCCAAGATAGATATATAGGTACATTTTTAGGCTCGTCGCTCGACTGAACTAGTGAGATTCCTAGAAATCCTGATATTTGACCATGCAGTACAGTTTGTTAGACCAGTACTGCCGCATCGGAATAGCGCTGCAGCAGGTTCTTTTCGGCAGCTTCTTTCCATGATCTTGGTTAAGTTAAATTTAAAGAAATGTATAAAATTAGCTACACCCGAAATTTCCATCCACAAATCCTCCAACATATTATATAATATCTAGCATAATTAATTGAATTTTCTTTCGATAATACACTGCACAATTAAATATAGGAGTTGATATAGAAGAAAAATATAAACAATATAATTATCTATTTTGAATAAACTTCGTATATATTTAAGAAATAAACCAATAAACAAATATTCTCCTTTTTTAGACGAAACTACTGATATCGCAGATGACGAGCCCGAGAAACGAGGTCAGCCTTCTCTCATAGTTGCCAAAAAATCTTTCTAAATCTATTTTCTTTGTTGATGTATTTATTGAAAGGGATTCTGACCATCAGGGTGAATACAAAAAAATATCAGAAATTTTGAGTTTCAAGTTCACTAGACATTGAATTTGCCGACAAAATGTTCAAGGTTTAACAGATCTGTATGATACGCCTCTTGTCCTCTTTCATAAGTCGTACTAACATAGGTTTTTTTAACAAAATTGTATTCCAGACCCAATTTTTCTAATTCGACCTGAAATATTTAAAATAGACGTAAAACGGGTTAAACCTGCGGAAGGAATCAGTCAGTTCCATTGTCGCAACATTTTCGTCGGTTATCTTTCAACTTCACTTTATCTCTATATCAGCCAAAACAATATTCGTATTCTATGCAACCGCCAGTCCTTCTAACAACTCCGAATATGATATTTCAAACTCTCCATTTAGTGTTCCTAAATTATTCTGGCTTGGTAAAGCCCCACTAGCCTCAAGCTGTATTAAATTGATACTATTGTAAACACAGGGCTATAGATTTCAATACGTTCCAAACATTACACCAATGCTTGAAGGCATTTCACCAAGGTTTCCTTGAACTCAACGAAGGCATTTACGTAAGGCTTAATTAATAAAGATTTATGTCTGTCAATCCTCTACATGTGGTTTATATATTCAGGCTGGGTATGCAGACGATACAGGAAAGGTAAACTTTGGTGTAAGGCTTGTGGATGCAGACGTGTTTGTCGAACCAAAGTGTGCTCTCGACGTGTCTGCAGACGAGTACGATGTACCAGGAGAGTATGCCCTATTGTGATCAAATACAGAATCGTCAGATACAAATATCGCAATCCTTATTACAAAGGATATGGCAGTCTCTACTTGTGGAAGACCAAAAAGGTTCCGTACAAAGTTCGTGTCTGCAAAAATGTGCGACGTTTCTGCCCCAAATGTTACAACAAACGTTATAATTGTGGTCGTGTTTGCAGGAACGTGTGCAAATTCAGAAGGGTAAGCAATGTGTTAATGAATACTTCCTATTCCACATATTAACATCGCCCTAGCATGTATGAACTGTTCCATGGGAATTCCTTGCTGGACTTAGAGAGATGCATCAAATTCCAGTGTCTCCATTTCGATCCCATGAGTGTGTGTTGGGGGGGGGGGGGCGATGAAGTCAGTGATTGTTTTATATGACTGGTGCAAGTACCTATAGCATCCATTTACTCAATACGAATCTCATTGGTTAATGGCTGGATTAAACGATATAGTGGTAGTGGAAATCAAATTTGAGTCACCATATTCTCTTGTAAAATTTTGTAGAATTACCTCAATTGACGTGTGAGGAGGGTAAAATAATTTCTGTCGTTCTCAGTAACGTTTGTGGAATCAATTTGAAAATCATTTGACAGTTTCAAAACTGTATTGTACAATAATATCTACACTGTACCCCTTCGCTTCAGCATTTACCATTGCCTATATAATACTCTAATCTAGTGATGGCTTTCTATTGTGTTTACTAGTGCCCAAACTACGGATAAACTACCTCAGTTCCTGAACGAATTGGTTAAGAACGGATAGCTCCATTGGATAACGACAAATGTACTAGGAATACGAAATGTAGTTGATAGGAAATGTACACATTTCTTCTTTTCTTGTTTTTTTTAATAAACATAGTTCAAAAAACGTCTGTTTATTTCATTTTCCAAATTAATGGAACCGGGGATTGTTCTCTAATTTAATCACTGATCTCTAATATAATGGATAGTGCACTTCATTCTGCAAAAAACGCGAACGAAGGCAACATTCATATGGCCCACACGTTTCTGTCGAGTTGCATTTTCTAGTGCATAGTCAACGATGAATGGCCTCAGATTTGTTATCTAGATTACAGTATGTATACCTCTGGCTGGAATATTCTATTTCCAAATACGATAAGCATTATAATACATCGAAATAAACAGCTCATGTTGTGTCGTGTTCACCGCGCCTGCCTTTTATGCTGGGAGTCCAGGATTCAATCGTTGTCCCGACCTTTATACTAAATGCATTAAAATAACATTCATCGATGAGGAGCGTGCTATACGCTTACTTTGATATCAGTATAATGGTTAGACTTTCGCGTCTTCTCAGATAAGGACGTTAAAATCGTAGGTGTCATGTATTCGCTATCAACTCGGCAATAACTTGTTGAGAAATCCGCTCACCAATAATTGAGAAACTCAGTAAAAATGATTGTGAGATTCTAACCCGTTGATAAGTGAGTGTGCTTGTTGTCCCCATACTCGGCAGTGTAGGCTGCAACTGTCGCTTTTCTAAATTGAATCACTGTACATGCGATTAAAAACAAGACGCCAATTTAATTTCGGGCAAGGTCAGGCGACACATTATGACAACTGATCTGCCTATCGTATCTGCCTATCGTATCTGCCTATCGTATCTGCCTATCGTATCTGCCTATCGTATCTGCCTATCGTATCTGTAGTTTGGATATCCCGCTTCGTGTGTACGCATAATATTTCTGAATGGCTCTATCAGTCTGTTCAGGTGTTGCATAGCTTGGTAGTTAGAGAGCTGGTGCGTTAAATCAGAAATCTTGTGTTTGATTCCCGGTTGCGATGCTTAGAAACTAATTTTAAGCATGTTTTTTATTGAAAGCACATGTACGCTCTTGAGATCATTCTTCAATTGATCTTCTTTTAAATTAACCTTCATATATTTGATACTTCATGTTTTACGTTTTGGGAGTTGGGTTTACCATCACCAGGCGTGCTGAAATCAAAAGAAGTTGTTTAGAATTATAGTCTCTTTTGAGGCGTACGTCTTCTATATGGTGCTCATCTGCGGGACATTCTATGTAAAGCGGTGGTGTATCAATGATCGGTTTGTTGAGTTTTCACCATGGCTGAATAACACTTAATGACTTATATCTGTTCCGTTTTGAAGTCTGTGAAGGACCATCATTGTACTCAAGGAGTAAACAGAAGTAGCCATACCAAAATAAAATTATTTTGTGATGATTGTTAAGGGAAACTGGAAACATTTTTCTAGCAGGCAATATATTGAAAGATAAAATTATATGAAGGTTTATGTACAATTTAATGCTGAATATGTAAAGTGTGCACTGTTAACTTCGAGGAGTCAAATTGACTCCAAATGTGGAGTAAGTAAAAAAGGTAATGAACGACTCCTCTCTTGTAGTAAATTTTACTCATTTTTACTCCATTTGTAGGGTGGCTCCATGCAGTTTCTTGAAAAGTGGAAAAGACACATGTTAGACATAAAACTTTTGTACATTTATATTGTTATAGAAGAATGAAACCAGATGTCTTGTATAGAACAGTATCATGAGAATTAAACTGTAACGGAAAATTGAGAATTAAACGAGACTTACCTGGAAATTGAAGTTTGATTGGAATTCTATGAGTCATAACACTGCATCTAGGGATCACATGAGATAGCGAGCACGCATGCGCCGTAAGTTTTTAAAGCTCCAATGTGGATGTATCACTTAAGCATGCTGTAAAATAAATATGTTCCAATGCACAATTAAATGGTTTATTACTGTCTACCCAGCTTCTGTAGTTGATACCCTATAATAAAATAGGGTTGGGAATGTTGGGAATTCAACAGGGCGACCATGTGAACCCTAGATGCAGTGTCATGACTCATAGAATTCCAATCAAACTTCAACTTCCAGGTAAGTCACGTTTAATTTTAAATTCTATTTCGTCATCACTGCATCGGGGATCCCATGAGATTTCAAAGCCAACATTCACATGAGAGACAATAGCAACAGTCTTTAATATAACAAATCCCCCAATAACATATCAACAATTAATTTGGAGACAACTCCAACATTGAGAAGAATAGATAGTACCTGTTTGACTAATTTCGAGCTCAGAACAGCAGTAGCAAATGATTGTTAATTGCTGACGATATGTTTATAATAAAACTTCTCTAAAGTTGGCGACGAGGACCACCCTGCCTTATTGAGGATGTCCTGAATAGGAACCGAGGCTGTTTTAGCCTTTGAAGTCGCAGCAGCTCTGGTACGGTGCGGTTTAAAAATCTGAGTATCGTTTCCAGCATTTGTCATGGTTTGACTTATCCATCTAGACATAGTGTCTCTCGAAATTCGATGATATGGTTTCATATAGCTGATGAAAAGTTTTGTTTCGTTTCCTCTAAGTGGTTTCGTTTGATTTATGCATGTTCGCATATGATTAAAAACACACAATGTTTCATCAGCAGGAAAAGCATGCAGAACAATTGAAGGGGGTGAGTACCCTGGTCGACTTTGCTTCACATGTTCTGGTAACAAAAACTCAAATGAGGATTCCTCCTGTTTCATAAGTGTTATATCAAGCATGTGTAGGCTTTGCCCTCATTGGGAGAAGCCAGAGCAACCAACATAAGCAATTTCAATAAAAGAGTCTTAAGATCCAGTTTGCTAGCAGTTCCAAGAGAAGATAGGTATGTTAGTACTGGTTGTACATCCCGAGTAGTTTGATACTTTGGCGTTGGAGGTTTGGACCGGTAGATGCCTTTCATGAATCGTGAAATAGTCGGATGGCTTCCTATGGTAGTGATCCCTTGAGGTAGTATAATGGCTGAAATTGCTCTTCCGGCCGTTTTTATTGCTGTGTATTCAAGATTTTGGTTATGAAGGTGTACCAAGAAGTGTAGCACAATCTTCAAAGGTGGATTGTAGGGATTAATCTCCCGTTCAGCACAAAATCGGTGCCACTTGGCAATGTACGGTTGGTATTGATTCTGGGTACCAGCATACCATGAGTGGAGGATGATGGCAGTAACGTCATTTGAAAATCCTCTATGATGGAACTTTGCCAGAGACTTTGCAATCCATTAGACGTAGTTGATGTCGCAATCCATTAGACGTAGTTGATGGGTACTATTAACACTCCTGTTGCTTTCTTATGTGTTATTTTCTGGAGACATGTTGCTATCATACTGAAAGGTGGGAAAGCATAAAATAAATATGGTCCCCAATCCATATAAAAAGCATCAAGAAATTTGACATCAGGTTCTGGTCGCCAAGAGACATAGCAAGGTACTTTATAGTTAACCCGTGAAGCAAGTAAGTCAATATCAAAACTTCCCCATCTCCTTGCAATGTCTGCAAACACTGGAATGGGAAGAGACCACTCGGTGAAAGGTTAAATACCCTTGATTCTGCATCCACCTCCACATTCTGAGACCCTGGGATGTGACATGCACTAAGCCATACGTCTTGGATAAACACCATTCCCAAACCTGTTTTGCCAAATTGTCACATTCCTTAGATTTTATGCCCTCATTGCACTGATGTAGGCAATTGCTGTAGTATCATTGAACGCTAACATTTTGTTTGGAAACATGTTTGCAGAGGGATCTTAATCCCAGTAAAACAAATCGCATCTCTAAACAAATGATGTGGTATTGCTGTTCTGTCTGGTCACATGGACCATCTGTTCTGGTATCACCCAAAACAGCACCACAACCTACAATTCTGGCTAAAACTAATGAGCAGTAAAGCCCCCCCCCCTATGGAGTTCAAAGGGATGCCGCCAATGACGTCACGTTGCTCCGAAAGTAATTAGTATGCAAACTTTGGTGTCGAAATTAATTAGTATGCAAAGTCTATGACGTCACTTTGGTCGGCTAACACTCTGGCGGAATTTGTAATGAGCTTCCAAAATCTATGACACCTGGTATAGCGCGACCAATTAACGCAGGCAGGCCTGGGCCAAATGTGGCAGGCGATCAATTAGCATCACAACTAGTTTCCGACAAATTTGTAATAAAACGACAAGAGGTTTCTCATAGTTTGCATGTATAAAAGTATGAAATAGAAGTTAGTTTTTAAAACCTACCGTTAGCTCAGTTTGTAGAGCAAAGGACTGTAGATACTACCAAATCAGTATTCCTTAGGTCACCGGTTCGAACCCGGTACGGCAGAAATTTTTTTTTGCCTTACAACCATGTAGCAACGTTGTGAGTCCCTCTCTTATTTTCAACACGCAATTGAAATTCGTTTTAATTTTTTAATGAATTTGATGGCTCGTTTTGAGCAATAAGTTTCCAAACAGAAATAAAAATATCGCAACAGAAATAAGCAGTTGCTAATCCCGGGTTGTCAAAGCCGTTGTTATGATCGCTCTTTGCATGTTGTAAACCCGCATACATATATACGGTCAAGATGACCGAGTCAGATAGAATACTTAAAGGAAATAACCTGTAGAACAATTTAACAGTCTTAGTTGTAATATTTTTTGTCTATTATTTGTATTAAGAAACATGTTTTAAACTTTGCTGCGTTGTTATTTATGTGTTGCTAAGTTATTAGGTGCCGTGTAGGTAATTAAGGGATTAGGCGAACAAAAAATTTGCATAACTAAGTGTATCCCAATGGATAGATAGGGATATAATTACGTGTTTGGTGTAAGCATAGTTTATTTGATTTTTATGTCAAGGAACTTGTAATGTCCCTCACATGGCGAAATTTTTATCGAGTTATACTCATCTCGGAAGAGATAAGTCGCGTATAGCAGATAGATTTACAACGCAAGTGTATGCCTTAAAATCAGGAGCGGGGCTTTGCGGGCAAAAATTTACACAAGATTTCAGTTTTAAAACAGATTTATTTCTTTAAAATGTTTTACAACATTTAGTAAGGTCTACTTCTAAGAGCATAACGTTTAGGTGTTTTTGTTATTTTTAAAGAGTTCTCATATTCTTGTCTATCTTCTGTGGATAACTTTGCAAGTTTTTCCAGCTTCATTGGAATATATTTTGGTCGGTCGCTCAATATAAAACGTTCATAATCCTCTCTTGCTTCCGGAGTCATTCGTGCTAGGTCACGTTCAGTCCAATCTGCTGGGTCTACCCAATTGTAGAAAAAGTTGCGCTTGAGTTTTGGTCGTTCCTCTTCTGTTGGTAGTGGTGTAAGGAAATTAAGTTTAGGAATAGCAGGCACTTGTGGTGGTATTTCCGCTGATACAGGAATAGGAGGCACTTGTGGTGGTATTTCTTGTGGCATCTCTGCAGGCGCTTGTGGGATACTTTGAGCAGTAAATCCTGGAGAAGAATGAGCCATCTTATCTTTGAATATGAGAAATCGGTTTAGTTGATCAGAATATAATTTGCTTTTTTCCACTGCGCTAAGTTGTGGTGCATCCATGATTTCTTTCATTCGCTGCTCGGCATCATACATGGCATTTAGAAGCGGTGGTTGTCGATACGATTGTTTTTGTATAAACCTTGCAATCCCGCTGGGAAGTATATTCGTCTTAAGTCGATCTTCATCACTCGTTGTTGGTTTTAAATCCAACATTGAGTACCCGTGAGGGTGGCTCGTAGCATCTTCATAACTCCTCATAAATTCTTGTACTCTTCCAGGATCTACTTGCCTTGCAAGCATAGAAATTTGCTGTTTATCTCTTGGTGACTTGAACAGCACGATATAATGCGCGTTTAGACTGATATTTCTCATTTCTTTGCCTTGATGGAGTATATTTTGAACAATATAAATGATAGATAAATTCCGATGATGACTTCCTTTCGTAAAAAGATCAGCAATACGTTTGTCTTTACTAGATTGTGCCATAAGATCATCCAACACGATCAAATTCCATTGCCATACATCCAAGTAATCTCCGTTGTCGATATCGTCGGGAATGCCTTTATTGAACTCGATTCCAGGCATCGTCCCCAACATATCAAAATATGATGGTTGCCATTGACCATTACACCAGATGATACGTTGAGGAGGTGGACTTATAGTTTTCTGTGCGTTCTCCAGGAGAGATTTCACCCATACAGTCTTGCCGCTTTGTGTACACCCGGCTACGATACACGTAAAAGGATGCTGCAAAACTGCAGATCCATTAGTCGTCATGCGAATGTTGTCGGTTGGTTTTTGATCATGCACTTTTTGTTTGTGTCGATTTAAATTGAACGGTTTAGAGAAATATTTTCCACAGATATGACATGAATAAATCTTTCAAATAGAAACCGAGTTTATATAACTAGTATCTCGTAGCCAACTTCCTAGTCTCGGACCCAAGCTCCTTAGGCTCAGAGCTGGCTCCTTAGGCTCGGAGCTCCTTAGGCTCGGAGCCAGCTCTTTAGGTTTGGAACCGAGCTCCTTAGGCTCGGAGCCAGCTCTTTAGGTTCGGAACCGAGCTCCTTAGGCTTGGAGCCAGCTCTTTAGGCTCGGGAACCGAGCTCCTTAGGCTCGGAGCCAACTCTTTAGGCTCGGAGCCAGCTCCTTAGGCTTGGAGCCGAGCTCCTTAGGCTCGGAGCCGAGCAACTTAGGCTCGGAGCCGAGCTCCCTAGGCTCGGAGCCGAGCTCCCTAGGCTCGGAGCCGAGCTCCCTAGGCTCGGAGCCGAGCTCCCTAGGCTCGGAGCCGAGCTCCTTAGGCTCGGAGTCAGCTCCTTAGGCTCAGAGCCGAGCTCCTTAGGCTCAGAGCCAGCTCTTTAGGCTTGGAGCCAGCTCCTTAGGCTCGGAGCTGAGCTCCTTAGGCTCATAGCCAGCTCCGAGCTCCTTAGACTCGGCGCCTTGTCTAAATTGCTTTCTCTCTTCCGATATAAGCTTCTTTATTGTTGTGTTTTACTCATTTGCTTCCAAACCGTCGAACAGAAATGATCCATCTTCTAAGGCACAAGCCATATCTTGAATTGTTGGGCACGTCCGAGCCTGATCAACAACAAGCACTACTGGAAACAGCAACCGCCGAACAAGTACACTGCCTGTGTCTCTGTGTAGAAAACGTTATGAAAAGAAAATATTTAATGCCGAAGCATGTGATGAAGAAACTCCGACCTTACAAAAATGAAATGCTTAGGTTGGCAGATAGAGGAAAATGTGGAAGAAGAAAAAAACGGATACTCGTTCAACGTGGTGAAGGTTTCCTTGGACTATTACTAAGTCCTATTTTGGAAAGCCTGGCTGAACTTGTATAAAAGCCCTGTGACTACAATTTATACATCATTTCAACAATGAACATCGAGAGTAAAACATCTCCGCGACATTGGCGCATTGAAGATATACTTTTGTATCTCAACAACAATGTCAAAAAAGCTACAGCAGAAAAAATTCTACATTCTATTCTTATATCAAGCGATATATTAACTTGGAATCCTCAGGGGGAGATTGTTTATCATGGAAGAGACATTGCTGGTACTAACATCGAGAACCTTTTACAATACGCACTTTTGCTATACAACTCTCACATTCTTGAACCACGGGGGCTTGACCTGTTTACAAAAGGTTTAGTAGAAGCAGGGGTTAATAAAGACTAATTAAAAATGAGTATTTATTGTCAAAAATGGCAAAGGAGGAACATGAAATGCCACAATCTAAGAGTGATGTTGAAAGCGAATCTGGTGAAGAGAACAGGGTGATAATGAAAGCGAATATGATGACAATGAGGATGAGGATGGTGATGATAATGATGATGAGTCCGAGAAACTAGCTTGTAACCATTGTGGTGAAGAGACTGGTCACATTGTATACTTAATGAAGTGCCCAAGATGTTCGTGGAAAGATTTCTACTGGGGCAAAGACGCTCAATGTGTGATATGTGATGAACAGTCACTTCTACTGTTTTCACATGTCATTGGTTTCTGCGAGTCATGTTCGTATGGTACGTCTAACACCAAGACGGGTGGAATGGAGTTCACACCAAAAATAGACAAATAAAATATCTAGCAGATTGGACCGAACGTGACCTAGCACGAATGACTCCGGAAGCAAGAGAGGATTATGAACGTTTTATATTGAGCGACCGACCAAGTTATCCCCAGAAGATAGACAAGAATATGAGAACTCTTTAAAAATAACAAAAACACCTAAACGTTACGCTCTTAGAAGTAGACCTTACTAAATTTTGTAAAACATTTTAAAGAAATAAATCTGTTTTAAAACTGAAATCTTGTGTAAATTTTTGCCCGCAAAGCTTCACTCCTGATTTTAAGGCATACACTTGCGTTGTAAATCTATCTGCTATACGCCACTTATCTCTTCCGAGATGAGTATAACTCGATAAAAATTTCGCCATGTGAGAGACTCGAAACCTCTTATTTTGGGACAAACCCTAATGCAACACCATTCGGCCACCAAGGTATTACAAGTTCCTTGACATAAAAATCAAATAAACTATGCTTACACCAAACACGTAATTATATCCCTATCTATCCATTGGGATACACTTAGTTATGCAAATTTTTTGTTCGCCTAATCCCTTAATTACTTACACGGCACCTAATAACTTAGCAACACATAACAACGCAGCAAAGTTTTAAACATGTTTCTTAATAGAAATAATAGACAAAAAATATTACAACTAAGACTGTTAAATTGTTCTACAGGTTTTTTCCTTCAAGTATTCTATCTGACTCGGTCATCTTGACCGTATATATATATATATATATATATATATATATATATATATATATATATATATATATATATATATATATATATATATATATATATATATACGATCAAGATGACCTAGTCAGATAGAATACTTGAAGGAAAAAACCTGCAGATTGTAGATGTAGGTTTGCTAAATAATGTTGAAAAACATGCAAATAGGGATCATAACAACGGCTTTGACAACCCGGGATTAGCAACTGCTTACATCTGTTGCGATATTTTTTATTTCTGTTTGGAAACTTATTGCTCAAAACGAGCCATCAAATTCATTAAAAAATTAAAACGAATTTCAATTGCGTGTTGAAAATAAGAGAGACACACAACGTTGCTACATGGTTGTAAGGCAAAAAAAATTTTCTACCGTACCGGGTTCGAACCGGTGACCTAAGGAATACTGATTTGGTAATAACTACAGTCCTTTGCCCTATACCAACTGAGCTAACGGTAGGTTTTAAAAACTAACTTCTATTTCATACTTTTATACATGCAAACTATGAGAAACCTCTTGTCGTTTTATTACAAATTTGTCGGAAACTAGTTGTGATGCTAATTGATCGCCTGCCACATTTGGCCCAGGCCTGCCCGCGTTAATTGGTCGCGCTACCTGGTGTCATAGATTTTGGAAGCTCATTATAAATTCCGCCAGAGTGTTAGCCGAACAAAGTGACCTCATAGACTTTGCATACTAATTAATTTCGACACCTAAGTTTGCATACTAATTACTTTCGGAGCAACGTGACGACATTGGCGGCATCCCTTTGAACTCCATAGGTGGGCTTTACTACAATAATGCAACTTCCAGTTTGATTAACCATTTAATTTATTCTTCCCCCCTTTCCCCTTCCAATGGTGATTAATATGAGCAAGAAACCTACACATAGTGCTCTTTGCCGTCGATGAACTATTGTACACAATTTTTAGAATCTATGTCCAACATCGTGCAGGAGCGAGGGGATTTTGTCTGTTCTATTGATTTTTGTAGGTGTTTCATTAACTTTTTGCCAAGATTGTCTGAAAAAGCCTTAAATACAAACATTTCCCCCCTGACAGTTATTTACTGTAGCGATGCTGGTTTTGAAATATAGTTTAGCAGAATGTATAATTAAACCAACTTTCGATATATATATATATATATATATATATATATATATATATATATATATATATATATATATATATATATATATATATATATATATATATATATATATATATATATATATATATATATATATATATATATTTATATATATATATATATTTATATATATGGTTTTGATGTCCCACAATCGTGAGGCATCAAAAGTTACTGTAAAAGCAGTTACTTTCATCCTGCTCATCAGCACAACACTGATGAGGCCCAAAAGGCCGAAACGGTTCCGTCTGTAGTTATATATATATATATATATATATATATATATATATATATATATATATATATATATATATATATATATATATATATATATATATATATATATATATATATATATATATATATGTATTATAGAGTTTCAGGGGATAAAATATCGAATGACTATCGATTCCGTTAAAATTTCCGTTGGCAAAATATAATAATTCTGGACGTAGGTTGCAGCTATAAAATAAGCACAAGTGAATACGAAAGAATAAACAAAGAAATTCATCGAGGCATGCTAATAAGCGTCTAAATCTCTAAGGATGCAAAAGAATAAATTACGACATGCCAAAAAGATCAGGTTCCAAATTGTGACAAGAGTTAATTAGCTAACAACCCTCAAATGTTCATTAGATAGCTACTACAAATATGTGTACGAACTTCAAGCAATGATCCTTTACTTATTTGACAGGGACCGCGGAGACGGGGGGGCTGGGGGGGCTTTAGCCCCCCCACTTTTTTTGACAGCCAAAATTATTAAAATAGAAATCTAAATGAAACTTTCTAAATTTTAATTAAACCTTTTCTAGGCATTTTTAACTTTCGCATCTAATTAAAATGAATAAAGGCTAAGCACCCCATTATGTGTACCTTACATGAAGTTCCCTTCAACACAGCCACGTGCTCCGAAACGAAATTATTATTTATATTCATATGGTTTTTGCAAAGTTTCCGCAATGGAGTTGAAACTGCCTTTATTTTTACTTTATTTTTACTATTTTTACTTAAGTTTGTAAAAGGTCTAAATTTTGTTACTTTTTATGACGATGGTCTTGGAGATTTTTTGCTAAAGTTCCTCCAAAAATGCAGGAAATAGCGTTTAAGGTAATAGAAAATTGAACATTTTCCTTGGGGGTTTTATTGATGATTTAGCCTCCCCACTCTCTAATACGCTCCGCGGGCCCTGTTTGAGCTGTTGGAATATTGCAATATACGGTACGTTGCGAGCGACATTTGATGTATGCGTTCGCGTATAATTAACCCAAGAAAATTCAAAATGGCCGACATATATATATATATATATTCGAAGGTCAAACTTTTCTGGATCCAGTATATATATATATATATATATATATATATATAATATATATATATATATATATATATATATATATATATATATATATATATATATATATATATATATATATATATATAATTTGGT